ATTACTTGGGTTCGCCATTCCTTCTTTCGGTGAGTCGAACACCGCCAAAGGAAAATTGATTTCCTTCACTCCACTTATCCTGCTCTCTGGAGACGACTTCTCTTTCTATTCAGCTCTGTCCACAATCATCTTAACCCCTTACCCATATCCCTTGGCAACATTTTCATCAATGTAGAGATGTTTATCGTCTTCACAGCTCAGCATACTCCATCGCCTTGGTATCACATTCTCCGAATTGAAGTTGTCACTGGAAAAGGATCTCGCAAATCGTCCTCAGCCTCAATGCAAAGAACCTTTTCATTTATTTTTATAATGTATGCAAAGGGAAGTCGCATTTTGTGAAAGGAAATGTAACTCATCAGGATCTATGAGAACGATGAAGTAGGAATGCCCAAACGTGATCCCATTATTCTTAACGCTTCATTGGCTAACTTTCACAATTGATGCCTTAACATACCATGTGACAGGAGGACAGGTTGTGATGCTTTCGCATATTTTACCTATTGTAATCGTTTTTGCCTATATACACGCGATTTGAAATGCATGCGACATTCGTTGCTCTTTTAGACATCAGGCTTTGTAAGTTGCGGCATTGTAGTCGTGTTTTTGTGTCTAGCCCTCTGTAGTTTTGAATTCATCCTTGTATCCACTTTCGAGTTCGTCGGTCACTGAGGCAGTAGAATACTCGCCCACTCTAGTGCTACCAAAATGTGTTTTGTTGCCAATAACTAACCTCAGTGAGGCCTTCTTTTCCATTTATAATAGGAGTTTTCCTGGATGGAGGAGGGGTGTCCTCTTGTGGATCACCTGGCCAGCTCCCTTGGAAGCCTACTTGACGAGGTCTTTCAAAGCGCCTTCGAGTTGACCTACAACACGTAGGTTACTGTGTTTTCACCAGTCCTCGTTTCGTTCACGTGATGGAGAGCTGGAAATAATTGGGCTACACAAACCTGTCTTTGTGCCTTCAGGTTGAATGAACACAGCGATGTCAACACCTCGAGTCTGCGTCACACACTGTGGTTTTTCGTTCAAAGCGTGTTTGGCGTCTGTCACGAGGATTTGCGCTACGAACGTGTACACAAACTGCTCTCGGTGGAGCAGCGGTGTTTCCTCAAGATCTGCGCTACACGACCCTTTGATCTGATCGCCTACCATCCCACGGCTTGTCGTGAACTCTTCACCGCTCTCAGTCCACCCGAAGTTGTAAGTGCGGCAAACACTATGTTGGTACTTGCCTTGCTCAGCTTAAATGAGTAGCCAACATTGAACGTGATGCTGTAGGTCCACGTGATGATAATGCTTATGGAGGCGAGGAAGCAGGCCTGTCTTTCTTACGCTCTGCGTGCTATCTCACAGTGCCAAACGCGTCGATGAGTAGTTCTACATCCACTCATCTATCGCAGTCACAAACACGCATGCGCATATGCGTCAAGATGAGTTAGAGGAGAAAAAGAACGTTATTACTGCTACTAATATTGCCTGCTGACCCGGCCGCATTTCGCCTCGCATCACTACATGCCTCCCTTTTTGTACACACGGAGCACTTATCTAGTCCCTTCTCTCTGTCTCCAAACACACACACTCGATCGGATTACTGGCATCTCTTTAATCATTGGTTTGAAAGCCGGGCTTTGCATCCACCTTTCCCTCTCCTCATCCCAATCCCTTCCCCTTCACAGTTTCTTTCAATCCTGTTAACGCCCACTTCCTACCTCCATATGTCTAGCGGATCAGCAAGAGCTTAGCGCCATTTCTCACAGAGTGTCGTTGAGGGAGATACCTCGACTTGTGCTTTTACACGAATTACATTGATGATGAACAAAAGCAAAGATGCGGGCTCGATGTTGTGATGAATTTTATTGGGTTCTGCAGGTCTAGTTACCCAGAGACCTATTTGGGCTGACAGACTCAATCACTTCGTGGGGATGCAAACATATTGACGTCCCATACAACTTCAAAGAATAAACGAACATACTTGGCCTTTAAACGTATGGAGGTGGTAAGAGAAATGCCAAAAGGAAAATATGATTTGCAAGCTCTGCGGCAACCTCAAAGTTGGTAGCCTTTTGATTTCTTGTTGGCAGCCGGTTGCCTCGGAATTGGTGAGAAAGCGATCTGTGGCGGTGCTCTGGAGAATTGTTGGGTTCGGGTTTCACTGTTCCGTGCTCTTCTTGTTGCCGATGGTCTTAGAGCTGTCGATTATCCTTTAATTTGCAATGTGCTCGATGTCATTGTGGACGGTTATTCCTGGCAGGGCAGTTGGGACATTAAAGGTAGGTGGAGAGTGTTGCACCGGAGAAGGGTTGGGATCTGATAGCGTCCAAATTCTGCTCAATCATTCTACGAGATAAAAACAACATGATGCGGACGAATAAAATCATTCTGGTTGTAAAATTGTCAATTGCCTTCGCGATAGTAAATTTATGCTGTCAACGTCTTTAGTAGACGTTCAGTAAACAGATTATTTGTCGTCATAATGTGGAATGAACTCGT